GGCTAAGTGGGAGTATTCGGGGAAAGTGTGTCAGTTACGCAAATCTTTATATGGTCTGAAACAGTCTCCATGAATATGGTTTGGTCACTCCAATTCTGTTATCATATCTATGGGCTATGTTCAGTGCCACTTAAATTATACTTGTTTCATTCTCTGTAATTCGTAAGTGTATTGTCTTATTAGTTTATGTGGATGACATTATTGTCACAGGTGATGACTCTATTGACATTGGTCAAGTAAAGGACTTAAGCCAAACTTTTGATATTTAGGATCTGGGATGTTTTAAATATTTTATGGGAATTGAAGTGGCTTGCTCAAGGCAGGGAATCTCCTTGTCTTAAAAGGAAATACTCTTGACTTGCTTAAGAATACAGTTATGTTAGGGTGTAAACCTGCTTCTATTTCTATGGATCCTAATGTCAAGTTCACGTGAGAGTCAGGTGAGTTACTGGATGACCCAGGCATGTATCACCGCCTTGTTGGATGCCTTATTTATTTGACCAACACTAGATTTGACTTGACATTTGCGGTTACTGTTGTGAGTCAGTTCATGCATGCACTTCGTACAGAGCACCTTGACACAGTTCATCACATTTTGAGGTATTTGAAGACTTCTCCTGGCGACTTCTCCTGGCTTGGGATTGTTCTTCACAGTTGGTTTTCAATCTGGGCTCTTCTGTTTCACCGATGCTGACTAAGTAGGATCTAGGACTGATTGGTATTTCACTTCTGGCTTCTATACTTTCTATAGTGATCATCTTATATCACGGAAAAGTAAGAAGCAGATGATTGTTTCTAGATCTTTTGCAGAGAGTATCGGGCTATGGCACATGCGACATGTGAGATTCTTTCTCTTCGCTCTATTTTGGCAGTGCTGGGTTTGAGGAGACTATTCCTTTCTCTTTATTTTGTGATAACAAATCTGCTATTATATTATCTTCTGATTCTGTGCTTCATGAGCGCACCAAGCATTGTGAGTCGATCTTTGACATACATTTCATTAGAGGAAAGGTTTGGACTAGCATTGTGAGTCCATCTTTTGTCTTTTCTTCTCGACAGTTAGTAGACATGTTCACAAAGTTTTGAGACCGATGTTGCTTCAGTCATCCATTGACAAGTTGTGTTTGTTGAATATCTTCACGCTAGCTTGAGAGTGAGTGTTGAATATAGGAATTAGAATATTTTATTTTTAGTAGATTGTATAAAATCCATGATTGTATAAATCACGAATTTAGTGTCTTGTTTATATTGTTTCCTAAATTGTATTATGAATATATTATATATACATGTCCTCTACCTCATCATAGGTAAGCAAAACACATTTTTTTCACTCTATTTCTCTGTTGTCTTGAAAACACTCTACGAGCATAACTTGACTCAGTCAGCCTCCTTGATGTACTTGAATTCCACAAAGCCTCTCGCTTCGATCTCCATACAAGTACAACTCTAATTACCCAATTGGCCATGGGTTTGAGAACAATGTAATGCAATCTTATGTGGGTTTTTGAATATAATGAAACAAATACTCAGGCAAAATCACTCGTATATCTGAAAACACAACTCAGAATTTTTACTGAGCACTAATAACAAACAGCTGTGTGAATATATTAATAATGATTGGGATGATCTAAACACGAATTAGAGAAGCTATATATGTATACCAAATAATCCAAACATAATTGGGATGAGGTTGCTCAAACTCTCATGTAGGTGATCGATCACCACACTCAAATGACTGCTACGTATTGGAATGAAATTAATAGGGCAAGAATAAAGTGTAAAAAAAAAAAAGAAAAAATAAATAAATTTGGGTCTCTCTGCCATAGGGATCAATCCATAATGACTTTTGGTGCAAAAATTGAGCTTTTACTGAATTTCACCATTTGTTAATTTTGAAAACTCAAAACCAAATGACGTATCATGCAAACCACCATGAATGCATGTCTATACCTGAGCGGGTAATGGAGTGTTGACTTCAGTTGTTAAACAACTAATCATGACTTGACTAACCCACTCTTCTACACATTTTTTGGACATAGGTAAAATGGTGGCCTACTGGGAGATCTCCACCCTCATTTCCCTTCACTCTCTTCCTGTGTAACAAACGAAACAAAGTGCTTGCATATGCCCCCTTTCCCTAGGTTTTAGGTACCTGAATGTTGAACGGGAAAATTTGACTAGTGATTAATTAAAACTTTACTAATATAATTGATGACAATTAAAAAAGAAAAAAGGAAATTTTTTAATTTCACATGGAATACACCTAGGGCTTTATTCAATCATGTCTAGGTCTAGTTTGAGTTTTATGTTTTTATTTATGTATTTTGTAGATTTGAATGATGTTGTTAAAGGTATTTTGGCAGTTTCAATCATTGGTGGACATAAGTAGTAGTCATAATCCATGGGTCATAATTGGGTCAAGTACTATTATTTGAATTTTATTTAGAGCCCTAGTTCATCTAGAATATTTTGTTGTTACCAATTATTCTTAATTTGTAAATTAGAGTTGGTCCTTATAGAAGTATTAGTCCTTTTAGCCTATTAATATATATGTAATCTCATTGATTCAATAGAGTTGATATTATGAAGTTGTGTATTTGTGAACCCTTGCAAGAGCAAAACATTATTCTTTGCCCATACCCAAGTTACTATTCGTAGGTTACTGTTCATAGACATAGAATAGTTCCCTCATCAGCGTCTAAACCCTAGCCAATCAATTTCAAATCATCCCATACCATTTAACCACTAAATCCACAATATAACACCATAAGATAGCTGCTGTCCAAAAAATCCCACGTCTAATTTCATAAATCCTTCCACTTGAAACTTTTGAAAGTGAAGCCCAATCTAGACCTTTTCCTTCTGGAAACGCTAGAAACTTTCTTCTCCCTCCTAGAACCCTAACCCTATCAGTTTTCCATAACCAAAACCCACCACAAAAGTCAAGTTTTCTAAGCCTTTCCTACATCACTAATTCATGTTATTGATGTTTTTAACACAAATTGAGGGATTGTCAATTTATTTGGTAGGGTCAATTGTTGTCAGTGTTTACATGTTTGTGTATGTCATCATAAAATTGACCATTTGAGGAAGAAGTTTGGTGCCTCTTGTATACCCATTTTGCTACAGAATGTGTTTCGTACTGAGAAAATATATTTTTTTCATCCTGCTATTCGCATTGGCAGACCAAAAGGTCTCTTTCAAAGCCTAAAGCATGCATTCTATCAAACATAAGAAGATGTGCCTACATCCTTGGAAGTCACTTTTGTTTCATTGAGCGGCGATAGGCTTTTCGAATGAGAAATCACTTCTAGGAATAAGAGAGTATGACATGGACATGGTGAGGACACAAATATATTAAAATGTTTAACTACATTTTTTGCGTGACATGTAAATAGATGTAACTGAATTTATTATCTTATTTTTTGTACTTAAAATTTTCAAAATGTGAAGGATGAAGCTCTACAAATGTCATATATATATATATATAAAATACAGTCATATTACTTGAGTCTCATCAAATCTAAATTAGTTTTTTATTATTTTATTGCCTATGTTATTTCTAGAATTGTTTTAAGATAAATTTGAGGTGGGTGAATTGCAATGGGTACTTCTAGAAGGGAGTCATATTGTACCTGTATTGAATACTTCCGAAACGTATCCAATACTTGAAATTAATTTTCTTTAATTTGAGAAGTATGTTACTTTTTAGATACTTTAGGTCACGTATCCGAACTATTATGAAATTGAGATGATGATAATTCTTTCATAGCATTATATTATAATTGTTAGGGTAAATATTAAAATACTTTTTTAATACTTTGCTCACTTCTTAAAGAAGAAAATAGTAAGATTACAGTAGTACATTCTTTATAATTTAACAAATTGGAATATTTTTAATGTGTACATGTGCCCTAGATCCGTATTTATACTTTATAGAAAATAAGGATAAATAAGAAAATATAATGATTACTAAAATTCAATTTCAACAATTAAACAAGAAAGAAACTTGCGTATAATATTTTTGTATAAAATACATAAGTGTGAAAGTGATATGCACAATGACAATATAAGTAGCTTAGACTTGGTATTTAAATAAATTTTTATAGGACCTACTAGGAAAGAAAAAATTTAAATTGGCTAGTCGTACTTAAACTAATACCTAATTTCACCATTCTTTGAGCTTATGTATAATACAATACAGTACTAACTGTTGTATTATTTTTACAAACATATCTTGGTTGTACCTGCATCCTACTTTTTTAGGTTTTGCCATATCGCCATATTTGTATTGTATCATATCCGTATTTGTGTGTGTATCCATGCTTCATATATTCCCAAAAATAGGTAACGTAATTCCTATTATGAGTTCACGCAAGTCATGTGGAGGAGTGTATGAGAAGTGTTGTCTAAGTGTCCTAAATTGGAAAAATTCATTTTTAAATTAGGACGTTTAAGTTATGTTAGACACACCTTTAGGTGTGTCTCGACAAGTGTCAGTTTGGTGCACGTGCCCTCCATGGACATAGCTCATCTTTAGAAGCATCCATGTTACTAAACTCAGAACATACTCAGTTTATGGGGGGGCTTTGGGAACAACCTAAAATAGCATACTAATTGTATTTTTATCTTTTTTGAGTCACATTACCTCTTTACTTTTCTGCACATCTTTTTGTAAAAAGTCAAAAAGTTACTAAAATATTTGATTGGTTGCTACTAGCTCCAACCATAAAGGACTGAAATCCACTGTTCATAGACAAAATTGTGATTTGCAATACTTGGTAAGATTGTTTCAAGATCATGGGATCCTTTCTATCAATAGGAATGGCTATGTTGGAGTTTACCTCGCTTGTATCCTTTTTGGGTTCAATGAGAAACATTTTAGTTGGGTTCTTATGCAAAGGCTTATGATTGTTACGAAATGATGCATATTTAAATAAATAAAAAAAATAAAAATTCGGAGTTTATTTTTTTAATTTATTTTATTTTTCTTATGGCAGATTTCTCCTGAAGATATTCAATGGGAGGGCAAAGATCCTGGAATATCTCGTCAAGCAGGTTATGGTGTATCAGGACATGTGATGGGTAGATCTGTTGGGCGTGATGGTGGTCCAACTGGAGGAAAAGGGAGGGGGGTGATGAAAGGTCAACCGAGGAAGGATTTTCCGCCCTTACAGAATGGCATAGGAAAGAAGGGATCGGATGAAATTCAATTACTTCACACAGATAATCTAATTAAGGAGGTTGGTGAAAAGAAACTTGATTCATAGTGGTATTTGTAAATGTGTTGATTTTTTTTTATATTTTATATTCATCATCCAATAGGTGGAGAGAGTCTTTGGTGTCAGTAATCCGGATCCACTTGAAATTGAGAAAGCAAAGAAGGTGCTGAAGGTGAGTGAAGTAACCATGCAATTCAGTGAACTGTTTTTGCATTACTATTAATATGCACGTCAGAGTTGATGGTTTTTGCAATGCAGGAGCATGAGCAAGCGCTTGCTGATGCAATTGCACGGCTTGCAGATATTTCTGATGGTGAAGGTATAACACTGCTTAAAACGTTTCCACACTTGTTCTATATATGCATTTTAGTTGGTTCTTCAAAGATTTATTGCGTCATGTGGATTACTTCTAATGTTTCAAAATTATAATTTCTAGTTTGGGCTTCTCATGGAATTAAATTACTTTTGTTGAATGTGGGCATATTTATGGAAAATTTCATTCCTTTGATTGGGGTTGAGAGAATTTGTGCTTAATAAGGATTTTTGGAGTTTGGATACCAAGTATGGGAATCGCAAGAGAAACGAGGAAGCATGGATACAGACATGTGACATGACACCGACACAAATTTGAAAAAAAAAATAAAAATTTGTAGGACTTGACATGTGGTGGACACGCACAAAACACATAGTTTTATGTTTATTTATGTCTTGTATAAGCATAAACACCTATTATATGTCACGAATAATGCTATTGAATTCAAAGACAACAACCAAAGGGTTACGTAACTCTAATTTCTAGGCTCTATTGGATTATGTGTAAATTTACATTGTTTTTCTTTTGACATTGGATTTCAAGTTATTTTATTCAAACTTGTATTGTCTTTCAAGTATCTCAAGTGTCTAAAGCGTGTTTGAGCCTAGAATTTTTTTTAAAGGAGTGGGGGACATGTTTTGAGGAGTGTTTGACAAGGGTTGGGAAGTGTCCCATGAGTGTCAATGTCAGTGTTGGATATGACACTACCTTTTTAGAAGTGTCCATGTTTCTTTGTGACATTTCACAAGATCTTAAAAGATCCCAAAAGATCAATGGTTATTATTATGATGGAGGGAACTTATATTTTGCATGGTGTTTGTTAACAATGTACCAGTGATCAAGCCATGTTGGAATGAATAATTATTCAGTTAGTTTCCAGTTTTTCTCACCTTAATACCCAATTTTGATTCTGCTGCTTTGAAACAGATGAGGGTGGCCATTTCTTGCCCATGGACCGGGAATAATGAGCTCTGGTTCTGATGGAAGTAGAATAGCTGGTCACAAAATAGCTGGAGGGAGGTATTCAGATGACCGTCAAACTGAGCAGAGAGAGCGTAGTGGGATGTTAATCGTCCCTTGTGATTCTGGGGGCTTTGTTGTATAATGCCATTATTCTCTGACCGTAGTTTTTTTCCCGAAAGTTGAATTGGTCTTAATTTTGAGTGTTTTTTAGAGTAGTAGGCAAATTGTTAGCTGGGTGGTGGGGTGATAACATTTCTTCACTAACCAGGTTGATACTTGTGTAAAATAGTTATAGTATTTAAGCAGTGATCATGTACAAAGTTGTTTTTGTTTTATGGCTGACTTTATGTACTTTGTTTTGCTTTTGCTTTTGTAATTCATGAAATATTTATCTAGTTAGTTATTTTGGGAATCAAATTGGGTCTGCAAAACAATGATGGATGCCAAATTGACGAAGTATCTTCTGAATGCTCATCTAGTTGAGGTATTAAGTATAGTGTTACTAGAATTGAACCAAACCGGACCAATTTGAACTGACCACCAGTTGAACAGGAAACAGCACGTGGCTGGATTCGAATGGAACAGTTGAGATTTTATGTTTAATGTTTTGAAGAAGCAGTACAGTAATTATATGGATGCTTTTTACCAAAAAAATAAAAAAATTTATATGGATATGGGCCATCAAGTGATTTGAGGAGCCAATCAAGCTTTAATGTACCAAATACGATTACCTATTTTGGGATTTGCTGCATTTTTTATTTATTTATTTATTTTTGTTTTTTTTTTTTTGCATCTATCCTTCAATTTTGTTAAATGCAAATCCATCCTGATCCAATGTGGTAGCAAGAATCTTGAAGACTTTTGCCTTTTAACTAATCTAACAGTTGCATCTAAGAGCTCTCTCAGAGGGTTGATTGATATCATCAACTAAGGGTGTTTGATAATATGATTCAGCACTTAAAAGAATTAAATGTATTAAGTGATAATTAATTACGTTTATTTGATAATTATAATTGATATCACTTAAAAATTTATGCGTCTTAAAATGTAAGTTAAATTTTAAGAAAATTTTGAGTCACATGAAACTTGTTTAATTTTGACTGAATTTATAAATATTAAACATAAGTATTTATATATACTATTATAAACTCATCACCACTACTACTACTACTATCACTATCACTATAATGCCATCATCATCACCGCTATTACAACTATCATTTCCACTACAATCACCACTATCATGCCATCGCTACCGCTACCATCACCACCATCATTATTACTATCACTACCACTACCACCACCTCAACCACCATAAGGCCACTACCATCACCACCTTCATCACAATTATCATTGTTGTCATAAGTACTACTATCATTTTATTATTACTACCATTGCTACCGTTATCACCATTATCACCATCATGCCGCTACCACCATCACCATCATACCATCACCACCACTACTACCACCACCATTACAATATAAAAATAATAAATTTCAAATTTGATCTTATACATATCAAATAATTTATTTTTTATTTAATACTTAAATTTTTATCAAACAACTTTTTAACTTAAAAAATTCAATATTCAATTTTTAATATTTAATTTTTAATTTTCAATTTTTAACTTTATCAAATCGGCAGAGGAAACTTTGCTGTTTATGTAGGGACACGACATTTGGTCATGGGAAAAGTAAGGCCTCAGTCAAAAACAAAAGAAGCTGCTCCTAAACAAAAAAGGACATCCAACACCTAGTAGATAGATACAATATGTACAAGGGTGTTACAGCCAGCGTTAGTCACGTCGGCTGGGCTAGCCCACAAAATTGGTGCCAAGCCTGCCTGTGAGCTAGGACTGGCAAGCTCAACAAGCTTTTTTTCCCATCGGACTGACATAGGGTCAAAACGTTTAGATTCAAAACCTATCCACCGGGCTTAGCCCAGACGGACTAGCGGGTCAGCCTGTGGCATAGGCCCAATGGACCAACATTCGAGTATAGTTGTGGGTTTTTTTTAAAAAAAAATTCCACTTTTTTTCTTATGTTTTTCTTATTTTGTTCTCGAGTTTGCAGATTGAGTCGACGGGTCACATCTCTTGGGTTAATTGATTGAGTTGGGTGCCTCTTGGGTTAATTGACTGAGTTGGGTCAAGTTTCAACACTTAGGCGTAGGCCAATCCAAACCTAGCTTGCCAGGGTACGAGTTTGGGTTAAGCGAAAACTAGATAGGTTTAGGTTAGACTGCAAGCCTTCAGGTCAAATGAAGATCCTATAAGTTCATTAAATATATATATTTTTGAGAACAGTTATAAAAAATTATTAATAAAAGAAAGATACAAAAGTTCAGATACAAAACAGCCACAAACAACAGATCAAGAAGACACTCAGATCAAAAGGAAAGTGAGTAGACCTAGCACCATCAACTCTAGAAAAAGATAAAAGTAGGAACCTCATTCGGAGTAGCAGAATTTGGAGTACCAGAAGAGTCTCAAGTGTCTCAAACACTGCACCAACTTACAAAGACAAGAGGTAATCACATTCAAAGCAACACAAGTGGAACAATGGATTAGGGATATGGTTGAAGGTTTCTTCATTGAGGAGCACGAAAATAACTTGGCTCGGTGTAATTATCCTCAATTACACTCCCCGTCTTACACTTTTTCCATGCACCATAGAAAAGTGTATGTGCACCAACCCTAGTGGAAGAGTGCATCTTGCTCACGAACTAAAAAGTTGCCACACATATGCCGTGTTTGGTTAGAGAATTTGAGAAAAGATTTGGAAAGAAAAATAAAAAAGATAGCTCAAATGTGAATAAAACATACTTATTTTTCACCTAGTTTTACACACCTTTTCTCTTTTCATTTCCAAATTCCTCCCCAAATCTCTCAACCAAACACAGCATTAGAAAAGGTGTTGGAATTCGAAGGAAATCTAACTAAAAAACGAAAAGATTTGAAGGACGAGGACGACTCCAATTTGACGGGTCAAGACTTTCAAGAGCCTTATTTGACTTTGGAAAATGTCACATCTTGGCATCAATTCAATAAATGTTATGTTTGGTTTATTGGAATGAGATGAAATCGAATGACATGATCATTTCTTAAGCTCTATTAATGGTGAATAATGATTAATTTGTAATGTATTTTTATATTTTTAGTCAACCAAATATGATAATGAGCATTTTGATGAAATGATCATTCCATTTCATTTTATATGATTCCAGTAAATCAAACACTATTTTAATGTAATTATCAAAAGTGAAATAATGGCCATGGCTAATTAGTTAAAAGTCCTTAAAAAAAAAAGGTCGAAACCTAAATGGTCATACCCCAAAAAGGTTGCATTAGATTGTAGTTTAGAAGAGTATACTGTGTTCTCGACCTTCCTATTCACAAGGCCATGTGTCTTTACCATGTAAATATGCTCTTCAAGTTAAAGTACCAATTGGATGGTATATTGATATGCATTATGATAACTCTTTAATTATTCAAGAATCTCATAACTGAAGAGGCTGGGGTCACTATTTGTGTGTCATATTTTTTAGACCACAATTTATGTGACACATGGTGAGGAACCCAAAGGGCATGTTTCAGAACAATATGAGAATAGATAACCACATTTTTTAATTTGGCAAAATGAACAAGAATGTAGCAAGGACATGTGGCAAAAGCATGAAAGAGGACCTTTAAACAATGTTGTAGTTTGTAAAAGAGGAAAATGTCTATACATAACTGTTGACTCTATATTTTGTACAGACCTATCGCATCCTGATACGTGGATTATAAGGGGCAAATTGGGGAATCCTTAAAGATCTCCAACCATCAATAAACGCGTAGCAACCTGCAGCAATGGCAATGGATCTGCGAGACATGAGAATAGTCAAGACATCCAAGGTGACGTGGCCAAATGGTTGCCTACAATTTAAATTCAAATTTAGGAGGGAAGCACAACCATGAAGAGTGGAATAGTGGAATAGTGGAAATCAAACTGATCAAAACCGCAGGCCACACTCAGTGATCATGGAGATCATTTCGATAGTTATTACTTACTTTGACGGATTATCAGCCACTTCGACGATTATATTCGGAGCCTATAAATAAATGAGAGTGTTGATAATGCAAGGCCCAGAACTAGATCCAGAAAGCCAGTTTTATTTACTTTACATTTTCCAGTCCTTTAAATTCCAGTCTTTACATTCTTGTACTACACTTCAAATTCCTAGGAGTAATTCTAAGTTAGTCTGTTGCTGTAATCCCCTTCGAAGCTGTAAAAGTGTGAATGTACAATTGTAAACTTCTGTTTACTTAATAAAAGATTGATTTCTGACACTGTTGTTCTGTCTTTCTTTTATCTTACTTAGTCTTCTACATTTTCTCTTAAAAACTAAGCCAACAGTGAAGTCCTCTTCATTGAGGCCAAAAGAACTTCGAAGCAATCGTCTGACTAATTGGTTGACATTTATTAATCTTTGTAAGGAGTTATTGATCCATGCTGGCGCGCTCGAATTACAATTCTAACCTTTGAAAGCCAAAAAAGCCAACACATATTTTTTGGCACGCCTACTGAGACTTAATAATGGCTAGACGTAGGAGACAAGAAGAAAATGAGTGCTTCGAAGCAGGTGTAGAAGGAGATGTAGAACCACATAATCCAGAGGATAATGAAATATCACATCCCGTGGATGTGCCTGTCTCAACAGATCCTCGACAAATGGTCGAAGAGACCAGCACTTCTGGGCATACAATGTATGTTTAGAATATTGGACAGGACCATGAAATTAGACCATTAACTGTCCCCTCTACTTAACCAATGAATCCATGGGGAGGGTTAGTAGATGATATGGGACATTAATTAATGTATACAATGGAAAGATGGGCAACATCCTTTTTGGATCGAATGAGTTCTCATCAATCACCTGTCACAAGGCAAGTTGAGGACATGAGTTCTCATCAGTACAGATTGACTCAAGATAAACAGTCTATGCAAAATAATGGATAGACTAGTGATCAAGTTAATAATTAGAACCATGAGAGACCATCACCTGTGCCTCAATCATGGTATGAGGCTCCTCCTAGACCACTGGCAAGTTAAAATGCACCAATGCCTACCAGCGAAACCATACATATTGGTGGGCCTGGGCTGTCACAAGAGAATGGCATGCGAGTGTTTTCAAATCCTATGTTTGAACCCATGTTTGAAACACTGGTGTTTACCAATCCTATGTTCTAATTCATACTCGGGGGGTTGGAAAGAATTTCTACGGCTGGAAGAGAAACAACACTTGTTCCTCCTCCTGTAGTCCCCATTCACAGTATCTTTTGCGGGGCAGATGCATGCTCCAAGAGGGTAACCATACCCTCAACATCATCCAACACAGCAGGGACAACTAGTTCCAAATGTGCCTTTCCATGG